GGGCGTTGCCATTCTGAATGGTGCTGTACGTGGCTGCAGCGCCGGGTGGTGTGTGGGCACTGCCGTGCGCCACGCTGGAGGATGGCCGTCCAGTCGTTGGCGTCATGAACATTGCCCCGGCCGTTTTATTTCACGGACGCCTCGCCACCCGCATCGCCGCGCACCTGATGGCCCATGCTCTCGGGTTCGCCCACCCGCAAATGGCCAGCCGCAGCATGGTGAGGAATGTTACCGGTGTGCGTGGCAGGGAGCTGTCGGTGGTGGTGAACTCGACGAATGCCGCGATGGCTGCGAGGGAGCACTACGACTGCGATGACATTTATGGCATGGAGCTACAAGATCAAAATGGGGACGGGAGTACGCTGGAGTCGCACTGGTCACAGCGCCACGCGAAGGATGAGTTGATGGCACCGATTGGGGGCGCCGGCTACTACACGGAGCTGACGCTGGCTGCATTTGCTGACCTGGGCTACTTCAAGGTGAACTGGAAGTTGGCGGAGCCGATGGGTTGGGGCAAGAAGTCGGGCTGCGAGCTGCTGCAGAAGAGGTGCTCCGAACTGAACCTGAGTAAATATTCCCACATGTTCTGCAACAGAGACGATGGTGTCGAACGCTGCGCGTCGGATCGTTATTCCCGCGGTTTTTGTCGGCGGAGCATCATTGAATTCTCAAAACAGCACTCAATGGACAGTTGCCCCATCATTGATCCCGCGATGGACGTGATGGACCTTGAGGCTGCTTTTAAGAAGGAAGAATATTTCTCTGCGAGACCCTGGGATAAGCCCTCTTCGTGGTGTCTGGACACGCTTCCCACCAACACGACAGATGCAAGGTACCCGAAGGAGACGTATCTGAGTGCTGCCATGCATACGGAACTGAAGTGTTTTGGCATGCAGGTGTATCTGAAAGATCCCAAAAATCGTTACGTCGATTGGTTCCCATGCACAGACGGGACGCCGATTACATGGGACACACCACCCTACAATAAGGAAAACGTCATTTGCCCTGAGTACGCGGAGGTGTGCACGATATCCGCCACCGGCGGCAGTGTCGTTCCCGTGGTTTCATGGGACGACGAGGAGAGGGTGTGGGGCAGGACGGTACGCCCGGAATTTTTGAGACAAAGTTCACCAGAGGCGCCCGTCCCTGTTGCAGAGAGTATTGGGTCCGGCCGTGGCACCGAATCGCAGGATGCTGACTCAGCTGCTCTTCAGTCGAAGCCATTGCCACAGGGAGACGCCGAGGCTGCCGTGGCGCAACATGACCACCAAGCGGGAAGCAATACCAGCACTCCAACAGGCAGTGAGAGGGAAGCAGCACCAGCCGCCTCTGGCGAAAACAACAATTCGCCTACGGCCGCTGTTGCAGGAGCAGGCGAATTTGAGACAACGCACAGCGAGGATTTCTTCACTACGGAAGTGGAAAGCCCGATGGGGGAGGAAGAACAATCCGCGCCGGAGGAGGGAGCAAACTCAACAACCCTGCAGTCAAGGGAAACCACTGGAGATGGGGATGCGCAGCCAGTACAAGAGAGCATGGCGTCTCTGGCTGGAAGTGAGGGATTGCTGCCCAAACAAAGCGAGGCCCCTGTTCCAGAAAATAACCACTCCGAATCCGGGAGCGGCGCGAGCCAAGAGGACCGCCTTGCCCTGCTCAACGACGCGAAACTGATGCTGCATGATTGGAATGTCGACAGCACTGCGCGTGTTTGCGTGTCTCGGGTGTCGATGCTTCTTCTTCTGGGACTGTGTGGAGCTGTGGCAGCATTGTGAGGCAACGAGTGTGGAATTGCGACTCCCGACGGAGAATAAGTGCCGCTTTTCTTGCGGTTTTTGATGTTTTTCTTTAATGTTTTTTTTCTTTTCTAAAAAATCTTTTTTCACTTTTTCAGTTTTTTTTTGGTGTTTTTTCGAATACTCAGTTTCTTTTTTTTTTAATGGTCGTTTGCTACAATCCGTTGTGAGTGACGTGTTTCCGACTTTTGTTTCCCTTTTGTTGCCCACTCGCGGTGCCGGCGTCACTGCTGCGCTTCCGGCGGACTGCACAAAACGAGGAGTGGGGGAGCAGGTCGGATGCCGCATGGAATGTGAGGGATGTTGTGTGGGCTGGTGGGAGGGTACAATTCCTTTTTTTGTTTTCTTTTTTTTTGTGCAGGGAATATGCATACGCCCCCGATCTTCTTGTGCTGCATGGCACATGGAATTCCTGCCGAATCAATTTTTTTTTTGTGTTTTCATTTTTTTTTTTTTACTCCCCATCCCCTCTTTTTTGCTTTTGGGGCAACCACTAAGGAAGTGATTTTTTTCTTTTCTACTCTTCCCTCTTTAATTGTTTGTTGCTGCACTCTTCCTGCGAGGGGTGCCGTGTGTTTCCCGCCCAACTGCTCCACTCGCACACCCACCGACACGCTCACGACGACGGCCCTGTGCGCCTCGCCTGCTGCACGCATGAGGAGGGGCCGCGACGAACGGCGCGCTGAGGGAGCCGTGACGTGTGGGCGTGCGACGAGGGCCTGTGGGGCGGCGCACACATTTCTTCCCTCTTGTTTTGTTTTCTTTGCGGCCAGGGCTGGCAGACACCCGCAGCGCCACACACACAGCCACACCCTGCCGCCGTGTTTTTTCTTTTTTTTTTTTTTCTTTTTTTTTTTGCTGCGCTCACTCTCCCGATGGAGTGACGCGACTCCCGTCATGTCTGCGTGCTTCTCTCAGTCCCCACACACACGAGTGACTGTGCTCTGCGGGCCGCACTCACGCACCAATAAAAGGACTGAGGGCAGCAGCAACACGCAGATGACCCATGAAATATAAACGATGTGCGGACACACGGAGGGTCGGACGGTTGAAAGACATTTAAATATCTAATTTTTAATGTGCGGGCAAAATATACAAACAGTTTGGTGGGCGCACACAGTAACCAGTGAATTTTTGTGTGATGGGTTTTTCTTTTCTTTTCTTCTTTTTTCTTATTTGTGTGTAGCCGTAATAGAGGACGACTTTTTTCAATTTTTTTTTATTATCTTTTTTATTTTTCTTTTTTTATCTTTTCTTGTTTTCTTTTTTCTTTCCAGAGCGTGAGGTGTGGAATGAAGATGATTTTTTTTTAAAATTTAATAAATTTTTTATGAATTGCCGCTGCTTTGGTCTGCAGTGCAGTATCATGAGCTTGGGCAGTCTTTTTTCTGTTTATTTCTGCCATGCACTTCTGCTGTACATTTTTGTTTGTGCGTCCCTCACATGCTCTGCTCCTGTTTTTACTTCTTTGCCTCGTGTGTCTGCAGGCGCACACAACCACATGCACGCACAACATGCACATTGCAGTGGATTTGGATGCTTCTTTTGTGGCGTGTGCTGGCGGTTGCGGGTGGCTGCTGCTTCCTTTAGTGGGCATGAAGCGAGGGGAGGAGAGAGGGAGCGCACACGGCGAGTCACTCTTCTTCCTGCGGGTGTGATGCGCGCGATGGGCTGCGACTGCTGTGGAGGGCCGCATCCTTTTAGGTGTGCGCTTCTCCGCCGTTGTGCCGTGCGCTTGTGCATGTGTTTCCGGAGCGTTGAGTAGCCACCATCTGTCCATGGCGGCTTGCGTGAGTGGGCACGTGCGGATGAGGGTCAGGGCGCATGGAATGAAGGAATGACTTGAGGAAGGGGAATTTGATTTGGAGGGTATTTGGACCGGATTCATTTGGCTGCGGTGGCCACATGCACGACGGATTTGTTTCCGCATAATGGGGAGGATGCGACAGGGTTTTCCGAAGTGGCCCGTCAATGCAATATGGGCTTTATAGCACTGGGGCACAGTGGTCTTCCTGCAATGGCTGGTGACGGCCTCTAGTCGACCGGTGTATTTATGCTGCTGCTGCTGCTCGAGGAGGCGTGGAAGTGCGATTTGAGGTGAGCGGCGGAGGGGCCACACATCCCGCAGTGACGGTCGTCGCTGGCCCAGCGGGTGCCTCTGAGGGTTTTGTTGGATGCAACGTCCTTATGCCCGTCTCTGGATGGCGGCATCCCTGATGCAGCCAACGAACGGGGCTGGGAGCGACTGTGAGACGCAAGCACGTGTGGATGTTTGGAGCGGCCGGCGCACCGCACGCTGAGAGCATGGCGCGGTGAGGGCCGGACCCAGAAAAGGGACACCGCGTGGGACGTCAATCTTCACTGCAGCGACCGCCACCGAATTCGGATTTGCTCGCACGTCCTGCGGTCCCTCTTCCTCCCCTCACTTCTGTGCCGACGACTGTGCCGCGGGATCGAGCAGCGCGATGTTTGGCCGCAGGAACATGGCCCGAACAAATGGTTTGTGGGAGGGGATGTGCACTGCGACGAGAAGGAAAAAAATGTTGCGAGACGACCACCACGACAGGACCGGAGTGAAGTTGTGTTTTGTCCACTTGCGCGAGGGCGGCCTGCCACCTGGTCGGTTGGGAGGATTATTTTTTTCTTTGCGTCGTTGCGCTTACTTTTTATTCCGCTGCGTTTTCATGCGGACCTGCGAAGGGAGATTTGCAAGAAATTCCTGCAAGGCGTCCGTGCCGTCGTCGGAGAAGCGGATTCCCCCCTGAAAAACGCTACTTTTTAAATTTGTTTTGGGCGGGGAGTTCCTGTCGATTCACTGCGACTTTGTTTTGCGGATTTGATGCGTGTGTTTCCGAGCGGTTCGGTCTGCGTCCCCGGTCCACTCGGATGTGGTGTGCGCGTCGACGTGAAGGTGCCTGCCAGCCGTTTTATTGCCTCCTCCGCTGTGGCTGCCGCCGCTGCCTTCTTCCCTTCCTGAGGTCCTGCGGCTTCTTGACAAGATGTTTTGGAGAAGGCGTTGCCGCTCTTATCGTCGATGGTATTTTGATTCTGGTGTCGTGGTCAGGAGACACTGAACGAGAGGGTTTGCTGCCCTCTTGTTTTATTTGCCCTCTCTGCCTGACGGCCAGTTCTACACAAACGTGCTCCTCGGCACCTCAGTTGGTGCTGGCGGGTTGCTCACAGTTGTCGCTGGCAATCGCATGCGCCAACTCTTCTCTGCTCCTTTTCAGTGTCGCATTTTTTTATTGATTGACGGACGCCATTCTGTCCGGCGTGCTACCTTGATTGGATTGTGTGGGACTGCTCGCCAACGCCATCGGAGAAAGCAGGCCGACATTTCCGCATATTTAATTCCATCTTGCGCGCACGTATTTTTTTTTACGTTTTATTGATGTGCACTCAAACAGCGAGGAGTCCGGAACTATGCGTGCGTGGGATTCTTCCTGCCATGTGAGCTGCGGGCAACACCGAGGGGCTGCCACTTTGACTCCGCAGAGTTGTTGTGTCTCTTTGCGGGGTTGGCAGGGAAATTCCATGCAGCCAGCTACTGCTGGTGTGTCCCCAAATGTTGTCACTCCATGCGAATAATGTGCTTCAGCGAGTGAGGGGATGATTGGGTTTGTGTGCACTCTGATTCTGTTTGCTATTTTGTGCGGGCACGCAACACTTGAGTGGTGGGAAAATGGAGCGGGGCGATGCGTGGCTGCGTCTCGCCCATTGTTCACTGCACGATGGTGTGGTGCACATTGTGGTGTTGACTCTGCGATGTGACTGCGGTCCTCTGCGCGGCAATGGTGGTGGGTGGAGGAGAGTGTTGACCCGCGGCGGGACGGTGAGATCGTGCCTCCTTTTCTCTTTGTTTCTTCCCTTTTGTGAAGGTGTGCACTTATTTTTGGTGTCGGTGATGGGGCAAACAGACAGAAAACGTAAATAAAATGAAAAAGGGCGATGATGTGGCGGTGTTGGGGTTGGTTGCACGCCTCGTGTTGCTGCGGGGGCGGTGGGCCTCGGCTGCTTCACCGACAGGCGTTGCAGTGCGGCTGCATGGCGCACCGACCACCCTGCCGTGCGAGTGCCACGCCCAACGCCATTGGGACTGCGGGAGGAAACAGCCGCGACTGTCCTTTGGAGCCAGCGGCGCCTGCATGCCGCAGTTGGGCGGTGCGAGTGGGATGCTTCACCGCACGGGTGTTGTGATGGCACCTCGCAGCGGCTCTTGTGATGGTTCCGACGCTGCAGCTCGACATGTGGTGGAGAGTAAAGTGTGGCCGCAGTGGACCATGAGCAGCACCAACATGAGGCTGAGTGATTTCCTTTGGAATTATGTTGGCGGCAGGGCGGCCGTTGATGAAAGACTACAATGTGACGATGGAGGTGTTTGTTCAGGAGCCGGATGATTACGTACAAGACCAGCGGCCTCTTGATAAGATTGTTAATTTGACAGAGCACCAAGCGCTGGGGGCCATTACTAGGCCTCTTCACGAAGGTGTGCTCTCTCTCGGGCAACGTAGGGACTATGAAAGAAAAGCATACGATCACTCCTCTTGCAAGAAGAACACCAAACGGAGTGCTTACGCAGGTACCGACAGAAGCGAGGCGGGAGGCAGAGGAAAGGCTAAGAGGAACGCAAGAAATGAAATTTACCATTTCCACTGATATCGAAGAGGTACTGTTTAAGGGAAGAGTTCGCGTCAATGAAATGAGGCTGAACGACTTTCTTACGAGGGAACCGGACGGCAGGGGTGTTGTGGACACCAATCGGGATGTCATGCTGGAGGAGTTTTTCAGGGACCCCACGAGGTATATCCGTGGTAAAGGAGCGTTGAACGAAATGCAGGCATCGGGTCGTTATTTGGGTATGAGGCGAGCTGTGAAGGGTGAAGTGATCTTCGATGAGGATACACGCAGGCTATGCGATAAGGGTGTCAACAATCTACCGGGGTGGTCATTGGCTGCTGCGGACGTAAAAGCAGCTGTTCATAACTCCACTAAACATTTCTTGGATGCAGCTGCCGAGGAGGCGAGGAACCCAACGACGACGAGCGCACCGGAGAAACTGGAGGGATGCTACGAGTCTGTGCACAATGCGAGGCGGAGCCATGCGGTGGAACTTCCGGACGGCGATGAGCGAAAGAAAACGGGGACGGGGATGGGGTGCATGAGGGGAGGCCAGAACAGTCATGGTCGTACAAGAAAGCTGGCAACACCCTCGAAAAGAATGACGATGTGTAGCAATGTGGTTCAGCACCTCCCGTTTTGATGGTGCTTGCCTCGGAGAAGGGGTGGCCGTACTCGTGGCATACGATACAGGATCTTCCTAAGGACGTTTTTGTGAGCTGCGAGGTGGAGCGAGCGTGGCAGATCGTCAAGGGCGATGTAACCGCGTGGTCCAGCCCTCACGGTGGGACCGACTTTAAGCCTGGGCGGCGTGTGTTGATTGGGACGCCCGGGATCGGGAAGTCGATGGCTGCCGGCTCGTACCTCCTCTACCAGCTGCTGCACTGCGATGCCAAGAAACTCCAACTGGTAGTCCACTGTTTTGGTGGACGAGATGCGTACGTGTCTGACAAGACCAGCAGGACGGTGACAAGATGCGGCGATGAGGACATGTGCATCTCGGAGTTGAGAAGTTTGAGGGGGCATGGGAGGAATGTGTATATTATCTACGATGTGGCAAAGGAGGGAACGCCGCCACCGAGACATTTTGCGCCTACTTCTGGATGGGGCATGATTGTGGTGCCTTCCCCAAAAGTGCGCAACCATGATGAGTGGGCGAAGCAACTGCAAGCCGCGCGAATCATCGTGAATTGCCCCGACGAGGTGGATGTGAAGGCGGTGTGCGCCTGGATGACGCGTGATGAGACCAAAGAGAAACAAGCGTAATGCTGGAAAGAGGTCAAAAAACACATGTATCTTTTGGGACCGATTCCACGTCATGTCTTTGATGAGGAGGCGTTTAATGGACGCTGTGGAGCGGTGGAGTTTGCATTGCAATCGATCAACGAGGTAACTGTGAA